CCTTCAGGGAACGAGGGTTACATACGTAACCGAGACGTTTCTCAATCATTGCTCAGTTGGGATCCAGCCAATATAACCTTAGAAGGAATTAGAGAGTCACTTTAACAAAGAGTATATGGTTTATAGAGTATGATTGCATTTCCAGAAATATTTATGCAAGCCATGTTATGAAATTAATCTTCTTTTACCCATTAACGCGAATGTACAATAAATGATAAATTAATGGAAAAGTACTGTAGTACTGACTTGAGTAACATATTTACTACTCTATCAGAATGTAAAAGAATAATATAATACGTATTTTGTAATTTCTTTGAGCTCTGCAGAAATCCTTTTAATAACGATTCACACTAATGTATCTATACCACATCTGTACATACAATTTATTCTTTTTTTGTGGTTTATATTTATGCATGTGTATTTTATTCACATCTCACTTTTATTATCTGTGTGTTGTTGTTGTCTCCGTGTTCTGGAAGCTTGTGACACTATAACAAATTCCTTGTATGTGCAAACATAATTGGCAATAAAGCTCTTTCTGATTCTGATTCTGAGGATATGAAGTGATAAAGTGACAAAAATTTCTCTAATGCAGAAATAAGACAAGCTAAACACAGATATCATTAGATCAGATGAGAAAGAGGCCTAGATATAATACATGATAAAAACTAAAAATCTAAATGGTTTGAAACAATACTACTTTAAGCATATTAAACATAGCATTAAAAGTGTGGTTATAATCTTCTTCAAGATAATATTTTTCTTTATAATAATTTGAATGTTGATTTTGATTATCAAATAATTATTATATTAATCTATTGTTCCAACTATTTTAATTTATTGCATGAGTTTTTCAAAAGGCATCTCAACAATCAAAATTTAAGCCTTATATATTAAAATTAAGTTGTTCTCAACTATTTCTACAACTAGCTATTTTTGTCATTTTAATGCTTTTGCAACAAAATGTACTTTATGTCAATAAAGTTATGTGAATTGAATTGAAAAGACAGAGAGAGAGAGGCCCAGCTCTGACAGGAACAATATTTGTCTGTCTCTGGTCAACGTTCATCTGTCTTCAGCTCTTCAAACAGCAGCAGTGCTCAAGATCTGCTTTCAGATCAGAAGAATCCAGCAGAACGGGCCAGAAATCATCAGCACTGACAACAGATCCCAAAGCTTCTCAAACCGCTCTGAACGGATTACTAGTGTACTTACCGTAAAAACAGCAACTGTAAAATGATGCAGCATGCAGTGACAGACACTTCAAACAGCAGTATAGCATACTATACCATTCATCACATGGCCTCAGTAATTAACAAGATTAGCTTAAAGGCCATTCAAATAAAAACAAACGAAATATGAAGAGTTCAGATTCAAAAGCCTCCTAGTGCCGTCTGAAATTATCTTCTAAAATGAGCATTTTTATCAGCTCCTATGTTTATTTTCAGTTATTTCACTTTAATGGCAATGAAAATAACCAATTTTTTGCCATTGGCAAGTGAAATTACTGAACCTACACACAGGAATCTAATTGAAAATGCTCATTTTAGAAGAATATTTCAGACGGTACTTAGAGGCTTTTGGACCAAAGCACTGTGAGGCAAGGTAAGGAAGTTTAAAATGTTCTAATTTTCTAAACTTAAAACGCATTTTTGTCCCGTTTGTGTTGTTTTACTACTTACACAATTATTTAAAGTATAAAACATTGTTATTTACTAAATACACAGACTGGTTTTTAATCATATTTTTAGGGGGGACAACCCTGAGATGGGTGGGGGGGGGGTCCCCGCCGACCCCCCCCCGGGATTTCCCCCTATGGAAACAGATGAAGTAGCACTGTAAGATTGCATTTGTTTGAATGCATTGTTGAGAGAGCGATTGCATGTTATAGTACTTGAACAAACCAATTTCTTGAGAACTATATAAGCCTTCACATTCTTTATGATTTGAGTGATCCATCTCTATCAAGCTAAATAAGTTTAACATGTGAATTCTTGCTAAATATGCAGTTATATTACGGGCCGTTGGCATGAATTGTGCTTGTGATGGAGCGCTCTTGGAGCGAGTGAAAACCACGACGATCCGACTTTTAAAAATCCACTCCTCGCTCCATTCAATATCACAAATTATACCCAGAATGCATTGTTTTCTACGGGATTTTACTGTTTTAATGAAAAAAAAACAGTATGTTACTGTTAGAATGTGGCCCATTTTTACAGCAATTTTTTAGAGTGTGTATATATATACTGTATATATATATATATATATATATAAAGAAAAACATCTTTGTGCAGTCTTTTGGTCCTCAAACAGTAATAAAAACAAGTTCACACATGTTGGTTTTTATATTTTATAGGAGCATTCCATGAGACAACATTATTTCGTGCGCTAGTGGAATACTACAAATCATGTTTCATGTTGATTTGGATACAAGCAATATAAAGCTATTTAATCACAGAGAACCATTATAAAAAATAGTGCAGCAACATTTGAACTATTAGCATTAAACTGAAAATACGTAAAAGGTTATATGCAGTACATATGTAAGGAGTACTGTTATCATAAGCAGAAATCAGATCAAAATTATATTTACCTTTATTTCAAATTAAATTACAGAAACAATTAATCTGACACTTCTGACTTAAATTTTTATTTTAAAAAGATTGTGCTGAAAAACAATTAAACATCAAGGCCTCTGCTTATTTTAGCCACTCATGAGAATTATATTTTTAATCCTGTATGTAAAATGTGCCATCTGTTCAAATCAACTGGAAAAGTCATTAAAACTTTTCACGCAAAGATTTGCAAAACTGTCCTATTTTAGTTTTTTATAAACTGCTATTCCTCCAGCTAAAACAAGACCTCCTAGTGTAATTATTAGTGCTGGTGGAAAGACTAAATCTGTTACTACAATGAGAGTGATTCCTGCTGCTACAGCTACTACTCCTGTTGATCCAACTGTGCCTGCTGCAATATAAGAACGCCAACGCTTACGTTTGATCATTTCTGAAGACCACTCATTTGTGTAGTACCCCCATTCATTTTCCTCTGCTATGTTTTCAATCTTCTCCAGCAGCTCTTTGACCTGATTATGGTTAGGGTCTCTGAGTGCCTCGATGTTGAATGCTTGATATCTGCCATTACTGTTAACCAGTGACTTTGTCTTATACACCCTTTCTCTGATACAATCATCTAATGGTTTCCCCCTCAGATTATCAGTGTGAGTGAACAGAATGATGCTGTAACGTAGAGCATCTATACCAATGTTGTTCTGGACCCATTTCACAATTTCCTTCTCCTCATCTTTGAATCTGTTATCGAGTCTGATGGCCAGCAGAAACACATGAGGACCAGGAGCAGACATGTGGACACACTTCTCTAATTCAGCTTTCATCTTCTCTGCTGGTGCATCAATCAGTCCTGGAGTGTTGATTATTTTCATGTTCTTTCCATCAACACAAGCTTCATGTATTTGACAGGTTTTAGTAAAACTCTCTCGGCCCACAATGGTTTCAACAGCACTGGTTTTTCCTGATCCAGTTTTACCCAGCAGCACAATCCGAGGTTTTCCAGACCCTGTCAATCCAAATTTCAAATACAGTGGTGATTACAATCCAGTGGCAAGTAATATTTTTCATGTCAGTTACATTAAAAAGTAGATTAATCTACATTGAATCTGAAAAATAAAACGTACCCATTGGCTAACTGCAACTTGGTCAGGGGTGCGTTTCCCAAAATCAGCTATGGTCGCAAGTTCCGTTGTAACCAATAGAGTTCAATAGAACTTGCGACCATAGTTAGCTAACAATGCTTTTGGGAAACGCACCCTAGGCTAGTTCTTAAAGGAATATTTCACCCAAAAATGTAAATTGCCCCATGATTTACTCACCCTCAAGCCATCCTAGGTGTATATGACTTTCTTCTTTCAGACGAAACCAATCGGAGTTATATTAAAAATGGTCCTGGCTCTTCTAAGCAGAGAAAAGTGTTTATTACGTTTGAAATAGTGATATTTTTCTTACAAAAACGCATGGATTCGCTACATGAGGCCTTTATTCACCCCCCGGAGCCGTGTGAGGCACGTTTTATTATGGATGCGCACACTTTATTTAACATCTCTTGGCCTGTTGAACATAAACACACACCGACTGCAATTATTGGAATAGTGCTTGGAATAGCCAGGACCATTTTTTAATATAACTCCGATTGGATTCATCTGAAAGAAGAGTCATATACATCTAGGATGGCATATGACTTTCTTCTTTCAGACGAAACCAATCGGAGTTATATTAAAAATGGTCCTGGCTCTTCTAAGCAGAGAAAAGTGTTTATTACGTTTGAAATAGTGATATTTTTCTTACAAAAACGCATGGATTCACTACATGAGGCCTTTATTCACCCCCGGGAGCCGTGTGAGGCACGTTTTATTATGGATGCACACACTTTATTTAACATCTCTTGGCCTGTTGAACATAAACACACACCGACTGCAATTATTGGAATAGTGCTTGGAATAGCCAGGACCATTTTTTAATATAACTCCGATTGGATTCATCTGAAAGAAGAGTCATATACATCTAGGATGGCTTGAGGGTGAGTACAATACAGGCTAATTTTCATTTTTGAGTGAATTAACACTTTAAGACGTTCTTAACATAGCGTCTATGTTTATACTACTGTCCACAGATATTACAAAATAAGTAAATTAACTATATTAAACAAGTAACATTTAAATATTTAATTGCATTATACAATATGAAACTGTGATAATTTGTTTCAAAGACAAAGACATAAGCTTACCAATCTGTCCTCCATTTATCTCTAACATCCTCTCAATCTTCTCCAGCAGTTCAGTGACCTGAGAGCGATTCTCAATGTCTTCATTATTGAATGAGTGATATATGCCATTACACTGAATAACAAGACCCTGGAGATCATCGTTTTCACTAAGATACTCCTGTAATGGCTTCCCCCTCAGATGATCAGCGTGAGTGAACAGAATGATGGTGTAACGTGCAGCTTCTTCTCCAAAGTTCTTCTGAATCCATTTCACTGTGTTTTTCTCTTCTTCTGTGAATCTCCCCGCTCTAATGACCAGCAGAAACACATGAGGACCAGGAGCAGACATCTCCACACACTTCTTTATTTCATTCTTCATTTTCTTGTGCGACAGTGTTGTATCAAACAGGCCTGGAGTGTCAATGACTGAGATGCTCCTTTCATCAATCCTCACTTCTCCTTTCTCACAAGTTTCAGTAAATGACTCTTGTGAATCTCCCGTCTCAAAGTACTGCAGATCCAGGATGGTGTTTCCCGTTGAACTCTTTCCTGATCCAGTTTTACCCAGAAGAACAATTCTGAGTTCAGATACTGAAGTTGATACTGTGAATCAGATAAGTAATAAAAAAAACAAAATTAAATAATCTGTAATTAAAGAGATTATTCCCAGCCAGCACACCCACATGGGGCCCAGATGGGTGGCACCTAGGAAATCTAACTGGGGCCCAGCCAGATTTGTCCTCAGTTTCCTTGAGGGCCCCACATGGGCCAGCCCAGACGAGTTACTAAAATGAACACTGCTCAGTATGCACACTACAGAGTGCTAAGAATAAGACTGAAGCAGCATTTCAGTTAATTAGATAATTAAGTTAATTAATTGAGAGATGACTGAGCATCTCTCATGATCTCAGCAGAGGATGATTAAACGACTCTGCAGATCTTACACACATCTGGTTTTCTCCCAACTCTTTACAGTCATTTAAGATTTTTTAACTCATTTAGGACTGTTTATGAGGTCACTCGTCAAAAAAAAAGTGTATGTTGAAATAATTTTGTGTGTTTTTGTTCGATGAAGCGTGAAAGAGAACTTACTGCACTACTGGCAAAAACAGCGTGCCAGTACCAAATTAATGCTCTAGTTACTAACATAACCTTGGTTCCTGAGTTACGGGACTGAGGGTTTGCCTCATTGACTCTATGGGGAAACTCCTGTTTACTCTGAATACTGAAGCCTTATTTGTTCATGTTCGTGTAGCTGCACAAACAAATGGCATTTCAACCTGCCAAAAGGAATGGAGCCGACTGCTATTCAAGTCGACTCTGAGCATCATCTCATCAGAATCTTTCGACTGATAGCGACAGTCATCTACCCGCATGCAGCCTTATAGCACAGCAGGTTACGCAAAGCTCATTTTTGCATCTCAGGAAAAGGAGTGTCCCTGACTAAGGATTGACATAGTCGAATAAGATTCATCAAGTATTGCATATAGTAGACTGATAGTCGAATCATGTGTGTGTGTGTTTATTTTCTTTCACACACTATATATAGAAACAACATGCAACGCTGCGACATGCAATAAAAGGTGTCTTTTCCATGTTAATCTGAGTTTTTGTCCTACCCAGCCACAACGGCAACACGCAAAGTTTCTATTTTAGAAATGGTTTCTATTTCTGTGATGTTGCGGCTGGAACAACATGCAAAATATGACAATTATAATCTCTTTTGTATGTGCTTTATTCAATGTTAAAAGTGTTTAATGTGAGTTTGATTTTATATTGCGTCACATTTATAGCCATACAGAAAAGCAACAATAGATAGTTTACCTCAGGTCTTGAAAATAAATTAAGGCAAACATTTAAATAAACTGTGAACTCACTGTGAACCAAGAAGTGTTTTCCACTACAAAGATATGCTCAGTCACTCAGTAGTCACTCATGTAGTTTTAACAATGTTAAAAAGGTTTAATATTTATGAATTAAATTATAAACTTGTCCATTTCAGTTGGAGTGCGGTGCGCTTCTCGCTTTGCAATGGCTGTGATATTGGAGTGATTCTCTTGCATCAAGTTACGGTTAGGTATGGACAGCCAAATTGCTTGTCACTGGAATCTTGCCGCGTCGCGTCTGGTTAGGACAAGGTGTTAACGTTGGCTGGCAGAAGCCGCCAAGATGCTCCTCTATTTGTCACATATCATGGAAAGTGAAACTTAAATCTGTCAAAGGGGTGGTTGGATTCACACACGTTAAAAAGATTTATTAAAAACGTCTTTCTTTTCACATTTTTATTTACAGCATTATTATAATATACTGTAATATTAACTTATTGAGACAAAACTGGTAGTTCTATGTGAAATTAGACATTGAGCACCCCCATATAACCAAAATGGCATGATCCTCGTTTCATAACACTTCTGTGAAGATTCGACTGTGAGATTGGTAGTCGAATCAGGCTCCTCCTATCGAAGCAATGAATCTTCAACTATTCTGGGTCACCCCTACAGGAAACGTCTAGGTTACTTGTGTAACCCTCGTTCCCTGAAGGA